CTGTTCTGACTTTTTAACTACTTACTTGGAGCTGAGCTTCCCTTTTTGTTGTATTAAGTATTTTGATAGCCCACCAGCAGCCATTGTACTTCAAATATCACAAAATCAGCAGAGATCATTTTTATTTTTTTTATTGACCATTTGCTTGTTGTTTTTCTCCCTCCTTTTGGGACATCGCATTTCATATTTTGGCTACTCAGCAACGACCAGCTGCTCCTTCTCCCCGGTCTCCACATCTACCTGCCTCTACTCCAGACGTGTGGTTTTGTCCTGATCCATACTTGATAGTGACCTCTGCCGAGATAACCTGAAGAGCCAGACATCGCAAAATCAAGAGCCAAAGAAGACCTTTTCATTTTGGTTGTTACTGGCACTGTGACACCTGTGTTTTTCATGTGTTTCATGATAAAGACTTCTTGTTCTTCAACTCAAGCTGAGTCAGCTGTTACAATAAAGGTTTAATGTTTTTGTTCATATCCAGGTATTATATTTGTTTCCATGCTTATTTCATAGCACTGTTTGTACTATAAGACGTCACTTAGACACAGACTTGATATGAACATGTATCAACAAAGTTTTCTCGTTTCGAATGTGAAATCTCAGAAATGTAATTGGACACTTTTTAAAGGGTAAAGCATTGGAACAAAACGAAGCTCTAAGAAATGTCTTTAATGTAATGTTGTATAAACAAAAATTTGTGTCATGGCAGTTGAGATATTTAAGCTCATAGCAGCTGTGATGAGGTCTATCTAAATGCTGTGTGTTTGTTTTTCTAACTACTAGGATTGGCTCTCCCACCAGAACACCAGCCTTCACCTTGAGAGCTGCAAAATCCTGCGAGCACAGTCAGTCTTTTTTTCTTTCTTATAGTTTTTCACTTTATTGTTATTGTTTGATAAATAAGCGCCAATGTACTGAAGTGGAAACACCGGACAGGAAGAATCCTATGGATTGTTTGTCCCTGATGAATTTTGTACTTTAGTGTGTAATGTTGGCGCAGACTGCATACAGATGGGTGACAAATTCAAGGAGAAGGGCACAGGGCACAAGGTGTCACTGAATGGTATTCATCCCTCAGTAGAGACTTAACAAACAGAGACTTGTAGAATCAATGCCAAGGCACATTGAAGTTGTTCAGGTGGCGCATGGTGGACCAATACCTTATTAAGACACTATATGTAGGTTTTCCCTCTAATTTGTCACTCGTCTGTAGCTAATTGCAGTAGTTATCTGCGTACCTTGAATGTCTTTCGTGAACCCATACTGTTAAGAGGCTAGTCTTCTCTCAGGGTTCATGATTATGCTGGCTATTATGATGGCTAAAACTGTACAATTTCTTGATACCATTTGACTCTAGAAGTGTCACCTGAATACCACTGCTTCATGAAAGTCTACCCAATGCAGATATCTTAGCCTTTTGTCAAAATGTGACCTGTTTGCTCTTGTAATGGGTGTGTGTTCAGATTGTTTTGTTTTTCATTGTTTGTTTTCCACAGATACCCAGAGTGGGATGGTGAGATAATACTTGAGTCCAGGTACATTTTTCATTCTTTAATAGTAACCACACCAGTTGAAAACCAGTACAATGCTGATTTTTGGAAAAAAAATTTGTCTGTCATCCACCTTTGCTTATTTTGTACCATGTTCTCTTCAGTGCCGCAGGAAAAGATAAGGCAAGTAAGGCATTGTCCTCAACTGCTGCCCAGACTTCCCAACATCGTCATCAGAAAACCAGGCATGGGAGCCGCTCCCGTTCCAACTCACCTAGTCCCCGAAGACACCATGAAAGAAGAGAGAAACGCAGCCGATCACGATCACCGCACAGCTCCAGATACACTCGCAGGTCTGTGAGACACAAATTCTGATATGAGCAATATTATGGGTGAACAGAGGAGATTCCACTTGGCATTATATTGTGAAATCTGCATCAGTATTCATTTGAATGTCACTTAAGAAATGTCTTTGTGAAACGTTTTATAACCATTTATGAATTTACCCTTCAGTTCCCGGTCTCGTTCTCGCTCTCCACGGTATGACCGTCCTACCTTCTCTCGATATCGGTCACGTTCAAGGAGCTTTGAGAGACGGTCCTCACCGAGGAGGAGAGATGAGAAACGGTCTTCGCCAAGACGAAATGAGGAGAAGCGACCATCTCCGAGGAGCCGTGAAAGAAGATCCCCAAGGAGGGGTGATGAGAGACGATCATCTCCAAGAAGAAGCCGTGAAAGACGATCTTCCACAGAGAGGTCGTCCCCTCAACGTAAGAGGTCGAGCAGTGCAGAGATACTGGCGAAGAAACTACTGGAAAAATCAGGTTTGAGAAACTGCAAAAAATTTTAATTTCTATCAAGTGTGCATGCCACAAATATAAACTGTTCTTGTCATTCATATATAATATAAAAGGAATAATATATGTTTGTTGCACTTGTTCATCTTCTTATTTTTGAGAGTTAGATGAGAACATTAATACCCTTCTCTTATACAGTAAATATTAACCTACAGCCAGCAGAGGTGAGCATAGATAATGGAAATGGGGAAAGGGCTAACTTGACTCTGTCTAAATCCGCCAACCAACATCCTGGCTTTGTATCACTTTATGATAATATGATTATTATATCTACATTTTATCTAATTAAACTGCTCCCAGGTCCCGTGGAAACTCCAAAACACTGCAGTTTTGTCTGACAGTGTTTTTCACCTTTGTCCCTCTAGCTGTCCAGTCATTGTCAAAAGAGTCTGATCTGGAGGCTGTAGTTAAAACTCTAGCTCCTGCCTTACTGGCTGAGTTAGCCAAGATGAAGTCTTCCTCATCATCATCATCCACTTCGTCACCCAAAGGAGGAAAACGCTCCCAGTCTTCTCCCTCTGCTGGGGGAAAAAGTTCATCCTCTGCTGCCTCTTGGTACTCTTCAACAGCAAGGAAGAAGGAAATGACAACAATGTCTTCCAAAGCAAAGCCCAGTCTGCAGAAGAACGAGGCAAGTGCTTCTACAAAGACTAAGGTTGGTGTGTGTGTGTGTGTGTGTGTGTGTGTGTGTGTGTGTGTGTGTGCACGCGCATGTGCGTGCGTGTGTGTTTGTTTACTAATTTGTTAGGGAATTTTGGCAACAGTCTATAACTGGTAAATTTATTTTTTGTGACATAATGTTTAGATCAATGACATCAAAAGAAGATGCATCTTCTTCCCTCTAATCATTAAAAGACAGTCAGTTTCACTTATCAGTTTATGATAACGAGATCTTTAATTGGTTTTCTCTCTCTCTTTACTCAGTTGGGTAAATCTTCACCTCCAACCATGGTGAAGCTAGAAGGGATTTATCCTTCTCTCTCTCACAATGATGTGGTCACTGCTGTGGAGCAGTTTGGAAAAACGAAATCAGTCGTACTGTTTCGGTCTACACTGGCGGTATGTATAGAGACAGTTAAAAGTGAGTTTTTGCTATCAAAACATGCTATCACAGAAGAAAAAGAGCAAATACTCACATTTGAGAAGCTATAGAAGCTGACTAAAACGTAAGGGTGAACTGTCAATTTCCGTCTGTAGTCTGTTTGAATGTAGTGAATCCTGATGGTTGTAGTAATACAAACGTATATGTGTATGATGTCTATGTGTACATGAAGGCAATCGTGTGTTTCGAGAAAGAGGAGGATGCTAAGAAACTGAAGAGTGTAAAGAGCTTCGACATGAAAGGAATGATCGTCAATGTTGCCAGAGAAAAGGTATTACACTTTATCTGTCTTTCTGTCCATGTCCAAGGGAAATATATAGTCTAAAGTTCTTTGGACAGTTTCACAATTTTTGGTCTTCAGACTCTCTGCTTCAGCACATTCAATTTGGAGTAAAATAATGGATACTGCATTAAAGTTCCAAGTGACAGCTTTAATATGTATATGCCTGTGTATTTTATTTCAAATCGAATGTTCTGAAGCATAAAGCCTGAAGACCAAAAAATGTGTTACTGTGAAAATACTTATGGCGTGGACTGTGTTTATTGACAGTGTCAATAATCAGATTAATCTAGAATAACAAATGTCATTTGGTTTGTTTACAGGATACCGTTTCTAAGGAGCGAAAGACGACTTCTCAGAAGTAAGATATTCTTCACACAGACCTCTTTTTAACAGTGATGGAGGCTAGATGTTTTATCTCGTCCTTGTCAGTATATTACTATAAATATTCAGTCACTGTCTGTCCGTTTTGTCTCCTCAGTAAAAAAAAAAATTCAATTTTTTTCTAAGAGTCTTTTCAATATAGTGTATATATTCAGAATTTACTGCTCTTGGTTTTATTCACCTTTTGGGAATTTACCTCATAACAAAAATCAGTGAACATTTAGTGTGCACATGGGATGGACACGAGTTAAATTACACTTTTTACTACAACAACTAAAATGAACAACTAAAAATTTACACACAGGAAAATTTTATTTTCTGTAAACTCTACAGGAATGATCTACACGATACTGTGTCCACCTCCTGTATGTTGAATGTCATTTAGTTTGTTAATTTAAAAACAAACAATAGGTAACACACACACTAACAGTCATCACAGGAAGTCAACTTTTGAAGGACAGTGCAATCTTATTGTGAAGAACATATAAAAAAAAATATCCAAACCATTCCCTTGAACTTCCATTTCTTAATTATTCTCCTGCTTTACAACCATTTAACTTTCTTTTGTTCACAGAAACCCAGCCATTTCCAGTGTCTCCAAACCTCAAACCACTAAATCCACAACTACCAGTACTCCCACAAAGGATCTTCTCCCTACAGCTCACAAAACTTTGCCTAATTGCCCTGCAAAGCCTTTATCTTTACCCTCTGAAGCCAAAAACGTTGCAACAGGTAACATTAAAAGTGAGAAAACTGCTGCAAAAGGCTCAGTTAAAGGCTCAGCAAATGTTACTAAAGCAAAGGTCTTGGTTTCCAAAGCAAAAAATGTCTCAACCCGGCTGAAGGCTAAAACGGTAAAAAGTGTGGCCCCACAGACAGAGACAGCCATGGTTGATGAATCAGCAACTAGGACTGTTGCTGGACCAACTAAAGGCACAAATGTCTTGGTGTCCAAAGCAGAAACAGCCTCAACTTCCCAGAAACCCAAAAAACTGGAGGAAAATTTGACTGCAGGAGGAGTTGTGACGCAAGAAAAGGTGGAAGAAACAGCTGCAAAAGCCATAAATGTGCCATCCAAATCTATGGCTTCAGAAAATCTCCCTGATGTAGAGACGTCCAAGTCTAAAGAATTTGAAACAACGGCTCTAGAACCTGTAGTGGTGCTGGAAGACACGGCCAAAGTTGTTGAAACAGGAAATGTGACAGTTTCTGAATTGAAGCACCAAGCAGAACTTGCCAAGGTTGATGTTGAGGTGAAAGAGGCCAAAGACACTGAACCAATGGAGTTTGGGGTAACAGGAGTTGAAGTTGCAGAGACCATGGAAGTTAAAAGTTGTGCTGATAAAGGGGAAAAACAGTCAAATCCAGAGGCTGTACCAGCCAAATCCAGTGAGAGTCCACCATCAACCACTACAGATGAGACCAGACCAGATTTGTCTCCGCCTAAACCTTCTACTGTTCCATCTCAAACCACAGAGGGAGTTCCTAAGCCTTCAGCCATTGATACTCAGAGTCCTCAGACCATCATTAGAACTCCAGAAACCTCTTTCAAAGCTTCATCACAAGTCCAGCAAAGTACTCTGCCAGAACCAGAATCATCTGTACAAGGGCTGGAGACCAAGACAAATGCTTCACAAATGCAGCAGCAGGCTGCATCAAACTCAACTGAAGCTGCTGTAGAGGCAAAGTTGACTGTCGAAGGAGTGGAGACAAAAACAACGCAAAAAGGTATGTTTGTGACCATTTGATGGCAATAATCTAGATGAAAAGACAAAAACTGTGTTAGTCAGTTTGTCAATGGTTTCTGACTTCCCTACCCAGTCTAGGGCTCTAAGCCACAAGTCTATTGGGTCCTACTAAAGATGTTAAAGCTGATACATACTTGGATTTCTAGAAAAGGCAATTGATGTCTGAAAACAGCTGTAGGTTTTAAGAAATGTTAATTAATCTGAGGTAAATAGGTTGTTTGTCGTAGCAGATTATAGGGTATTTATAGGAGCAGACAGTGTATGTTATTATGCTATCGTTACACACAACTGTTGTATGGCCACATGTGGCTCCGTCCCACCAAACTTTATTTTCAAATACACTGTAGTTTTATATGTTTTAATTAACACATATCTCAGGAACGTGTCTCAGATATCATTCTACTTAGATGGAAAATTAGACTATGGGTCATGTTCATGGTCAAGGTTTACTTTTTGGTGTCAGCCTGGATCCAACAAAGAGAGGAGATTACTGGAATAGAGCATGTGGCAAGTAACTGTTGAGATGAAACACATGGAATTATGTATTTGGGTGGAAACAGAGGAGATTCCAGGGCTATTATTAATCTTGCGTGCATTATATTGTGGAAATCTGCATCAACAGTATTCATTTGAATGTCATTAAGAAAATGTCTTTGGTGAAACGTTTATTAGGATAGAATCTGTGGGCTGGGCATTTTATGATTACGATGTGTGTGTGTAGTGTGTGTGTGTGTGTGTCGCTGTCTAAGGTGTCCCGTGTGTCGTTCCGTGGTGTGTTGTTGTGGCGTCTGTGTGTGTGTGTGATGTGTGTGTGTGTGTGGTGTGTGTGTTCACGGTCTCCACGGTATGACCGGGAATTCCTAGCCAACTGTGACACTACTGATCTAAGCCAGTGTACTTGCGCGTGAACTCACTGAATGCTACGTTTCAACGGTAAGTTTCATTATAGAGAGACGTCCTTTTCCAGCAAAACCACCAGTAGAGAGGAGGAAGATGAGAAACGGTCTTCGGACACGAGTATAACGAAATGGAAGGCAGATTCAAGCGAGGACCATGCTCCGAGGAGCCGTGAAAGAAGATCCCAAGGGGGGTGAAGACTGTATGGACGGATATCCACTAGACAATGTTGTTAGTTGCGGTATCCAAATGAATGTGTTGTTTGTTGGAAGCTTTGCTCATAGTGGATATAGACTTGATCTGTTGACATTATACCGCCCAAAGGAGAGATGTCGGGAGATCTCTCCCTTCAGCACTTCTTCACACTCTTAAAAGTGAGAAGCGTACGGAGGCAGAGCAAACCTGCACTTTAGGATACTACACGTAGCAAAGTAGAAGAAACTACTTGGAAAATCAGGTTTGAGAAAACTGCAAAATTTAATTTCTATCAAGGTGTGCATAACTCATGCCAACATTCTAACTTTATATTACTCAAACTCGTTTCTTTGTAATCATGTCGACTCTCTATCAGTAATAAAATAATATCATGAAAAAGGGAACAAATAATAAGACTACTTTGTTGACATTCATATATCCTCGCACCTTTGCTTTCATTTTTTCGCAGACTAAGTATTTATATTATATTATTTTATACATGGCCTTGCTTGTATTGTTTGAGAAATTATTGTAGAAAAGTATTTAGGATGAGTCTAGAGATGCTAATATAATACTGCTTCTCCCCAAGATTATACAGATCAATAATTCTAACAGCTATCGAGGCACACAAGACAGAAAAGGAGATAAGGTTATTTACGAATGATAAGGGAAGAATGGCAAGGAGATGAATGAGCTCAAAAATGCTCTAGACTCTCTGTCATAAAAGTGCCGCACATTACATAAGATCGAACTATTGTCACGCCTCGGATGTGTATGTATCACGACCTTGTAACAATGTTCCAAATGATATATAGTACTCACCATCTATTATATTTCTACATTTTATCACAGATTAACGTGCTCCGCCGCAGTTGTCGCGCTCTTGTGAGGCTTATCACATATCAAAAATCTATCTGATGAAAGAGTCGTTACACGTTCTGACAGTGTCTTTTCAACCTTTGTCCCTTGGCTACTACACTGCTTCCAGTGGCACCAATGTGGGCTCTCATGTTCGAAATTTATTAAGCAATAGTCTGATGACAGCGGAGGGCTGTAGTTTAAAACTTGACTAACCTTGTGTCCCTCTCGAAGCCGGTGTAACTCGCGCATGATTGGGTCTCAGACCAACAGCTATCTCGACACGTCTTTCCACAATTCAATCGAAGTCATACCATGACTTGCTCGCTGTGCACGACATCGTCACCCGACACCAACATTTACCCTCAAGGAGGAGAGAAGCGATTCCCACTAAGTGCTTGGGCCCACTCGCTCGGGGGGAAGAGAAAGTGTTCATGCACCCGCCCTCTGGTCCTCATGAAACGCGATCTTGGTAACCTATTATGTTCAGGCTTTCAACAGCAAGGAAGAAGGAAATGACTATATCGAATGTACGTTACCACAAGCAAATCTCTCACTACTACTGCAGAAGAACGAGGCAAGTGCGTCGATTATTCTACTCACAAGAGAAGCGTAAGGGTTTGCGTAGTCTCTCTGTTTGTCGCTTCGGTGTCGTGTGTGAATCGTGATAGCTGTCGTCAGCAGAAAAAGTTGTAACCGTATTTCCTTTAGGGTTGCGGTGCTGAGTCACGTGTGTGTTTGGTTTTTAATAACCTGAATAGTCGGTTGTAATGTAGTTACAGGATCGCAAATATGTTGAGCGCCACTAAAGTCCTATAAAGCGTAATAGTGATGAAATGTGAGTGATTTGCTATATGTGACAAATATTCAGATCGATCTATGTATGTAGAACTGATCATGAGTGCAAAAGACAAGAATGCCATTCGTGTAACTCTTCTCACCCTCATAATCATTAATAGAGACGTAGTCTAGTCAGTTTTGTATCATGCTACTTATAACAGATTACAAACAGATGAGTCTAGCACTCTTTTGTGTTTTAGCAGCGAGGAGAGTCTGTTAATTGGTGTTATATTTTTCTTCACCACCCCTCACACTCCTATGCTTCCTGGCCCTCCGCCCAACGCCTGCTCGCTCTGACTCCTCCGCCTCGCCTGCGCACACCCCCCCCCGCGCGCACCTCTCTCCACCCCACTCACCCCTCGCCCTCCACCACACACCACCCACCCCAACTCCTCTCTCTGAGCGCAGTATGAGAGTAAATCTTACCTCCAACCAATGGGTGAAGCTAGAAGGGATTTATCCCTTCTCAATTTCTCTCACCAATGATTGGGTCACTGAGCTGCGGACAGCATGTTTATGGAGAATAACAACTGAGAATCAGTCGTACTTATTCGGCGTGACATAACACTGGCGGATGTATACCGAAGATGACGTTAAAAGCTGACGTTTTTAAGTCCTATCACAAACATGTTCTATCACGAGAAGAAAAAGAGTCGAAATACTCACACATTTGACGAAGCTATAGAAGCTGACTAAAACGTAAGGGTGAATGGTCAATTTCCAGGTCTGGTATATGTTTGGAATTGTAGCTTGAGAGAAGGTCCTGAATGGGTTGTAGTAATACAACGTATATGTGAACTGATGTCTATGACTTTAGACTGAAGGCAATCGTACGTGTTTATACTGAGAAAAGAGGAGGAAGATGGCCTAAGCTACAACTCGAAGAGTGTATATAGAGCTTCTGACGAGTGAAATAGGAAATGATCGTCAATGTTGCCAAGAGAAAAGGTATTACACTTTTTATTATCTGTCTCTGTCCATTCCAAGGAAATATATAGTCTAAAGTTCTTTGGACAGTTTCACAAATTTTTGGTCTTCAGACTCTCTGCTTCAGCACATTCAATTTGGAGTAAAATAATGGATACTGCATTAAAAGTTCCAAGGAACAGCTTAATAATATGTATATGCCTGTGTATATTTATTTCAAATCGAATGTTCTGAAGCAAAAAGCCTGAAGACCAAAAAATGTGTTAACTGTGAAAAATACTTATGGGCTTGGACTGTTTGTATATTGACAGTCGTCAATAATCAGATTAATCTAGAATAACAAATGTCATTTGGTTTGTTTACAGGATACTCGTTTCTAAGGAGCGAAAGACGACTTCTCAGAAGTAATAGATATTCTTCCACACAGACCTTCTTTTTAACAGTGATAGGCTAGATGTTTTATTCGTCCTTGTCAGTATATTACTATAAAATATTCAGTCACTGTCTGTCCGTTTGTCTCCTCAGTAAAAAAAAAAATTCAATTTTTTTCTAAGAGTCTTTCAATATAGTGTATATATCAGAATTTACTGCTCTTGGTTTTATTCACCTTTTGGGATTTTCCTCATACAAAAAAATCAGTGAACATTTAGTGTGCACAGGATGGACACGAGTATATACACTTTTTACACTACACACAACAATAATGAACAACTAAAAATTTACAACATGGCACAAAATTTTATTATTCTGTAAAACTCTACAGGATGATCTACCGATACTTGTCCACCTCCTGTATGTGTTGAAATGTCATTTTAGTTTGTTAATTTAAAAACAAACAATGAGGTAACACATCACACTAACTAACAGTCATCTATCAGGAAGTGCAACTTTTGAAGGACAGTGCATATCTTATTGTGAAGAACATATAAAAAAAATATATCCAAACCATTCCCTTGAACTTCCATTTCTTAAATTATTCTCTCTGCTTTAACAACCATTTAACTTCTCTTTTGTTCACAGAAACCCAGCCATTTCCAGTGTCTCTAAACCTCAAACCACTAAATCCACAACTACCAGTACTCCCACAAAGGATCTTCTCCCTACAGCTCACAAAAATTTGCCTAATTGCCCTGCAAAGCCTTTTCTTTACCCTCTGAAGCCAAAAAATCTGATTATCAGTACATAACGGATTAAAAAGGAGAAAACTGCTGCAAAAGGCTCAGTTAACAGGCTCAGCAAATGTTACTAAAAGCAAAGGTCTTG